AAAAAAAGTTAGTTATTGATTCAAATGAGAAACAATTTTTATTAATCATTTAAGGTTAAAAATAACTAAAAACAAAAATATATCTTTAAATTTACTTCTGCAATATAATAAAGATGTCAAAATACAAATAAAGCTTTAGTCAGCTATAATTCAAACGTCAAGGAAATGATTCGACAAACTACAAATGACATTCGATGTATTTCAACAATTTTATTTGTAATAAATGCACTTCTAAAATTTCTAAATAAAAGATATTGTTATAAAGTAGAGTCGATATTGTTGTAATAAGAAATATTCAATTAAATGTTTATTATATAGGTAATTTTCCACAAATTTTAAAAGTGGCATTAGTTTTGTAAAAATTAGATTCAAGAAAATAATTTAAATTAAAAACTTTTAATATTATTAGAAATTTTAATATTTTTTTTCCATTTTCTTTAAATAATTAAACAGTATTCTACTATAAACATTGAAACGAAAAGTATATCTCAGTGAATATGTTAAAACTGGATTATGTAAAATGAATTAATTTTAACTTGAACCAGAAGAAGAAATTAATTGCTTAAATTATCATAAAATATATATATCTATTTATAGAAATTTAAATTGCATTAGTTTAAGATAAAATATTATAATTTTAGTAATTATTATATTAAAAAAAAAAGAATCAGACATGCGCGAGTTACACTAGAACTGAAATCGACGATTCCGAACAGGAAGCAAACTTATTTGGTATAAAAGCAAATGTTTAAAAAAATATAAGTTTTGTATGTCAAATAATTTAAGTGATACAAAAAAGGAACAATTTTGTTAAAAAAAAATTTAGAAAATTGTTCCTCTTCGTATCACTTATTATCATTATTTGCCATACAATATTACTAATATTTTTTTTAAATATTTGCTTTTATACCAAATAAGTTATTGCTTCGTGTACGAAACCCTCGATTTCAGTGCGAATGTAACTCGCATTTGTTTGATTTTATTTTATGAAAAATTTTTTTCGAAAAAAAATATATGAAATTCAATTTTATTTTAACTTGCAATATTTTCATTGTATTTTAATCGTAAAAATACATTGAATACTGAAATTATCTATATCTATATAGGAAAAAAATTGTAAAACTTATAAGAGAAAAATCTACTTTTTTCAAAAATTTGAGCTCTATGTCAAAAGATGTGGCCGCTTGGGGGAAGGGGGTACATATAGTCATTTTTTGTAAAAATTGATGGTTTTTTCTTGACAACGCTATGATAATCAATTCTAATCAGATTCGCTATATTTTTCCCGTAATCTACACGCGAAAATACATATATGTATACCAAATTTCAGCCCTCCAGATAAATTCGTGTGGCTGCTAGGGAGTGGAGGGGGGGGGGTACACGATTTTCTAAAAACCGATATTGATAGGGTTCCAAACCGTAACCCTAAAAAAAATAAAAAGATCACTGAAAAAAAATTCTAGTTAAAATAACCAGAATTCTGGTTAGGGTATATTTAACATTTTGATTCTAGTTAGGTTAACTAGAATTCTGGTTATTTTAACGAGAATTCTAGTTAATTCAACTAGAATTCTGGTTAACATAACTAGAAAGTAATGTTAAATATAGCCTAACCAGAATTTTTTTTCAGTGATTTACAAATTTTTTATCACTATTGACTTAACTAATGGAAGTTGTGCTAGAAACTTGGTAGAAAAACATCGGAGATGAACTTGTTTTAACTCCTAATAGATATGACTTATAGAAATTGCTGCAATTTTTTTTTTTTGCAGTATTCTATGCATGCTAAATTAGTATTATGGAAATTGATAACTATTAAAAATGAACAGGTTTTATAATCTTAATGTTAACATAATAAAAATGATCACTTTCAGGAGAATCACCCATATAACCCGATTCATTTGATACTTTGCTAGTTTATTAGGTTTAAATTTAAAAAAGAAAAAAAATAATAATTCTAGTACCCAATTGAATGTTAGCTTTTATAAATAATAATTATTTTCTTTTTGTACTTTCGATTAAATTTTATTCATAGTTCTCATTATACTCGATAAATTGAGCTATAATTATTACGTCTAATGAAAAATGAAATATTTTTAAAAACCATTGAAACGACATTTTGACAAGTAAATTTAATTTTCCATTATCACTTTTATTAATGAAGTAAGGAAAAAAATGTTTAAGAATTTGAGGTTATGTAAAGAAGAAATTTGATACATGAAAGCCGTTGTTACTAAAGTGTATAATCTCAATTTAAAATTTATCAAGAATTTTAGCTGATAAATCAATTATTGTATTTGACTGATTCACCACAGCGTTTATATCTTGATTAGAAAATTAGTGATATACTTATTGCTAATTTAGCTATTTAGAGAGAGAGAGAGAGGGAATGAATCAGAATCAAAATGAAGGTCAAGAAAAAATGAATTGTACCAACTAAGAAGAATGATACTTCAGGTTATAAAAGTGACCAATAGATAGCACTAATAATTCCGAAGGGGGTTATATGGTACGGCCACATATGATTATCCTCATTAGGACCACATTAGGAAAATTGGATTTAATTTTTATTTAATCATACGTAACTTTTTTTTTATCCTCTATAGTTCGTTAAGAGTTTCATCAGATTTTTAAGCTTTAGATGTTAAAAGTGTTTAAACATTTTTTTTTTTTTTCAAAGAATAAGAAATACTTGTTTTAGGTACAAGTATTAAGAAAAGGTCAATAAAATTATGAAGATTTTTGGTAGGTTTGATTTGGCTAGAAAGTGTCGGAGAAATTAAATTATTTGGTAATTAGCCATCGGCGCGGCTCAGTGGCGTCTCCATCCGTGCTTGGCTTCTTGTCTTTTTGCTTTCCCGCTTCCTTGCCTTGACATTCCAGCACGCACGACCCTCCCTGCAAAGACGATTGCTTGCTTGCGCCCTTTTATATGCACAGTCATGCATTAAAATGTACTTTTCAGTCTGGAGCCTATCGTGATAACGTATAACCGTGGAGAGAAACCTGCCTTGTTACGTGTATGTCAAGGCAAGTTCTATATTTCTCGTCTCGGTTGTCTTCAATAAATTTGGTCCATCGCGAGCTTCTTTATATATGTGTATATGAAAAAAAATACTTGTTATTTTAGAAATCATAATTACAGGCCTTTGGATTGTACCGATTATACGAATTTTTCCAACCTTTTTTTTAAGGAGGTTATATAGCGAAAATAGAATTAACATTATAGGAATTTAATGAAACTTGGTCCACTATTAGATAAATGTTTGGAAAATTATGTAGCTAAATTTTTGAGACCTCTATATAGGTTCTTGTGTAAACAGTTATGAACGTTTTTGTTTTTTAACAATTAACATTGAGTCTTATGGGAATTGAGTACTACTTACTCACAACATATAGTAATTAACATTAGGAAATTGATGAAACTTTTTTCAATACAAAACAGATATATATAATGATTAAATATCTCATTTAAAAAGTGTCATTAGGTTCTTGTGGGAGTTGCAATAAATTAATTTTTAACAATATTTCACGTTTTTTATACGTTAAATTGAACAGCTGTCAGAACGTCTGGCAACGTTGCACACTTGATCATGCGCGTTATACGTTAATTTTGCGCGCTAAATTTTAAAATGTTGATTCTGATAACTTAAAAACTGAATGTAAACAAGTCATAGCAACCATTTGCAATTCGACTGATGTAATTTTATTACAAACTGTAGCTCTTCTGAAATTCAATTATTATCTTAAAAATTTTAATGTAAAAAGTCTTTCTGAAATTAATTATTTTTAATAATTTTAATGAAATTCTTCGAAAATTTAATTATCTTTTTAAAAAAAAATCTTCAGCAATTCAAATTTTCAATATTCAAAATCTCCTGAAATTTGATTAATTCTAAAAATCTGGACTGAAATTCAATTACTTTTTAAATTTCTATATTTAAAATTCAATTATTTAAAATATTTTTTAATTATATTTAATAAAAAAAGTGTTTTAATATTCAATTATTATCATCTGTAATTTGTAAAAAAAAATCTTCGACAATTGAATTATTTTATACAAAAATTTTTATTTAAAATCTCTTAAAATTCAATAATCTAAAAATTGAAAATATGTAACACTTCCAAAACTCAATTATATATTTTAAATAATCTAAGATTCTTCGCCAAATTAATAATTTTTAATAATATTAATCAATTGTTAGAATTCAACTAATTTTTATCAAGTTATTCTAAAATTAAATTATTTAAAACATTTTCAGGTAAAAATTCTCCCAATTTCTCATAAAGTATTTTATTTTCAAAAAAATGACTGGAATTTTTTTTAATCATTTCAACATTAAACTCGCTGACAAAATTCTGAATTCATAAATGATTTACATAAATCGGACTTAAAATTTTTTTTTTTAAAGTAACTCATATTTTTTTATAATTCTAAAATTAATTAATTATTTTATAATTCTAAATTTGTCTCAATTCAATTTTAAAATATTTATTGAATTAATTTTATTATAATTTAAAAAATCAACTTTTCTTCTTATGTAAATCGGCTAAAACGACTTTTTTTATGCTTTAAAGTCATCTATAATAATTATTAAAGTTAATTACAGTTACAATGTAAGAAATTTTAGAAATAGATTTATACACTGAAAAAAATATTTATTTGATTCAAATAATTAATTTACTTGACTATTATCAAATAAATGTTTTTTTGTATCAAATAATTATATTATTTGATTCAATTAAAACTATTAAAAAAAAATTTACTTTAAATACATAAACTATTGATATATAAAAATTACAATGTTAGATATATATATATATATATATATATATATATATATATATATATATATATATATTAAAAATAGAGTGCTTCTGCCTCCACTTAAAATTAATAGATTAATAAATATTTTTCATATTTCTGATTATTATTCTTTTATATTACTATATTTTACTTTTTTTATATTAATATAATAATAAAACAATTATTTTTTCAGATTCACGAAACCCCAAACATTTGCAGACTGCATTGGTAATGAACTTCCATTGGGTTGGGAGGAGGCCTATGACAAACATGTTGGTGCCTACTATATTAATCATGTCAACCGTGAGTATTTTCTTTTTTTTTTCTTTTTATTCAAAGTGATTTGTAACTTTTAAAAATTGTTAATCAAGAAACATTAGAAAAAATTTTTTAGACAAAAAATTGTACTAATTTAAAAAGAAAGATAAAGTTTAATACTTGAATTAAATTATATAATTATTATTTTTATTATTAATTAAATAAACAAGTTAAAAAATTATAAAAGCAATCCAAAGATATCATAGAAAAATTTTATCCTTGAGGAATTTTAAAAATTTGTAATCTTTTAGAAATGCCCAACACTAGAAGTTAAAATAAGTTTTAGAATTTCTTTAGGAGGGAAATCCAATGGAATTTAGGGAAAACATATCCTCCGACCCGACAGGTGTGTGCAAAAGCCTTAAAGCATATATATACGGGCGTTTGTTCAACCCAAAAGGTCTCTGGCACTCATAAATTTTCTTGTGAATTTTTCTTTTATAATGTCTTATTCTAAGTCATGTAATACCAGAAGTGAGCCAAAAGTAAAAAAAAAATATATCCTTAGACAAATTTTTGAGGAAACTTCAGTTGAAAATTTTATACTGTAAATCTTATTTTTCAAAAATAATAAAAAAATAATTTCTTAATAAAACATATATTATCTCTGGCCTTTTTCCCATTTTTTTAACGATTTTTTTTCTCTTTCTTTATTTCGATTAATAGAATTTTTATTTAACAGAGTTTTCATTTAATATAATTTCTATTTTGTTTAAATTAAATATAAATTAATACAAGTTCTGTAAAATAAAAAAACTCTGTTAAATGAAAAGTTAGTAAACTAGAAAATCTGACATAAAAAAATTTAGTAATTTAAAATTTTGGTGAATTAAAAATTCAGTAATAAGTATATGTTTAAATAGAAATTATATAATTTATATTAGTTTACGTAATAATTAATTGGAATTTTTTTTGTTTAGAAACCACACAACTTGAAGATCCAAGGCAAGAATGGCGTGCCATTCAAGAAGCCATGCTTCGAGAGTACTTGCAAACAGCTCAGGATGTACTCGAGGTGAGTTAAAATAATTTTTTTTTTTTACATATTGTTAAAAAATCGAAATAAAGGATGGAAGGGAGCCTATTCAAAAACTTTTAGTAAGTTTTAAATCATTAAATAAATTTAGCAATATTTTATTTTTTGACTAATTTTAAAATTTCTAATTTTATAATTTTGAAAAACTGCAGCAAACTTGATAATGCTTTATATAATTTTGAATTTTAGACAAAATTATAATTTCAAAAATATATTATATCAAGTTTATTTTGAGGTTAATGTTAAAATGTAAATTATAGAGGAAAAGCGAATAATTAGGTACAAAAATAGTAAAGAAAATAATTAGTAAAAAGAACTTTTTACTTCAAAGCTGATTCACTACAATTTGTGAAATTAAATAGCAAAATATTTAGGTTAGAAATCTTTGTGTACTGACAAAAAGATGTGCCAACCATGTAAAATCAAATTATAAATAATGGCGCTAAATTTAAAAATTGTTAAAACATTCCTTAAAATGTAATTTAATTTATAATATTTTCTCTGCAGTATTTATTTATTTAGTATATGGGACATAACCTATATTACCAATATTCGGTACATATAACAAAATTTTAAAACATTTTTGTTTTTAATATTTTTACAATTATTTGAATAAATTAACACAAATAAATTAAAATTACATAATTATTTTTTGTTTTATAAAAATTTACATTATTATTATTATTTTGCATATTGTAAAATTGAAGTATGATATACACGTTTAAACTAAAATAGAAACTCACAGGATATAGTCTTTTGAGAAACTAATTGACTTATCGAAAGGTCATGTGTTATCATTCTAGTCAGTGTGGAATGCGGAACGCTATCTTTATATTATCAAGTTTGATAAGACTAAAGTCGTACGGTAATTGTTTACATAAAGATGTTGTCCCAGCATTGTTTAACAGAAGTTGATATAAAATTATTACAAACATTTACCAATATAATTGCAATACTATTCATATTTATCAGTACACTGTAAAGTTTTGTTTTAATACATATCAAATCAAATACATTAAAAAAAAAAAAAAAAAAAAAAAAAAAAAAAAAAAAAAAAAAAAAAAAAAAAATTACTGACAATTACAAAACTGACGTTCACACATTCTTTACATTTTTCTAAAAATATTAATTACATTGTTTAGAATACAGTATTTTTAATTTACAACATTTTGCATTTAAAATCGGACAGACTTTTTTATGTAAAAAATTATATTAATAATAATAACAACAAAAATAATAATAATATTCGTATTTCATTTATTATAAAATTTTTTTTTTTATTTAATAATTTAATAGTTTAGAAAATTATTTTGAAAAAATAATTGAAAAGTATTGTATAACTAGTTATTTGATTTAAAAAAATTTTAATTACAATACATACGAAATATTTTATCGTAAAATGTGCCAAGTGGAATAAAATTACTATAACAGATCAATGAGTCATTTGAAACTGAATTTAATAGGCATTTCAATTATAAAATAATTTTTGTCTTTTTAATAAACTGTAAATTTAAAATTAAAATTAGTTTACAAAGTGAAGTTTTAAGATATCAAAAAATCGGTTTTTATATATGTGAAATATAAATTAAGTTTATAATAATTAATAGTTGTTTTTTTTTTAATATAATTAGAAAAAAAATTTAATTACATTTTCACATTATATAAACAAAGCCGAGTCAATGAACTCTGAATTATTATGGGTGGCAAATAATTTTTTTAATTTTCTCAATAATGGAAAAGAAGTATTACAGAAAAATTGTTATTAAAAATAAATACAATTTATTTGAATTAAATCAAAATATATTTGTCTCAGAGATATAAATAACTATTATTATTTGTTTGAAATAATATAAATTTTGTTTGGCATACATAAAATATTATTTAATGCAAATAAAAATTTTATTTAAACTAAATAAACTATAGTAAATAAATAAATAAATCAAATTTAATTGAAACAAACTAAATATTCATTTAGCTGTGAGACAAATGTATTTTTTTTTCTCTGAATGCAGAATATGAAACTGAAATTGATCTTTATATAATAAATATAATATAACAAATATATCAAGAAAACGTAGAAAAAATTCTGTATAGAAAAATTAAATATAAAAAACATTAAAAAAAAAATAAAATGATAATTTAAAATTTTAAAGTAAAAAATGATAAGGGAATCAGAGAAGTCGACCGCTATACTAACTCTAGACATATGAAATGCCCCATGGACCAACATGAGCGAAATAGAGTCTTTTACATTATACTTGACGCACATAGCTAGATAAAAGGAGAATGGGGAGGAATGGAATGACGGTTAAGAAAGGAATTTCTACCATTTGATGGCTGGAGTTTATTCTTACTGCTCTAACAAACAGCAAGTGTCATAAAAGGAAGGAATTGTTAATGATTTGTCTTGTTTTGACATTAAATATTTGGAGAAGAGTATTTTTCTTATCAAACAGAATAAAATTAAATATTAGCAAAAATTGTATTAAAAATTTTTTTTTTTTTAAATTAAATTGCAGTACTATTTTAAAAGCGTATAAAAGTAATTTCAAAAAGAAAAAAATTACATTTTTCAGAAAAATAATCTTTTTTCTTTTTTTTTTTTGCTTTTTAGCTAAAAAAAAATTCGTATTTTTCTCTTTATAGTGTATCGTGTTTGACCCAATTATTTTTCGAAAAAGTGATTCACAGAAAAGTGAAAACTGACTAAATTCTTGACAATTTACAACAAAAAAAAAACAGTGCCATAATCTTAATAGTTTCCAAGATGTAGTTTTTACAAAATTGACCTTTTTTTAGATTAAATTACAGGGATTCAGTTTTCTGTAAATAATTAAGTTTTTGTTAACTTTACAATGTAGACGTATACAAAAAGTATACAAATTCTTGAAATTAAGAAAAGAAAAATAAAAACTCCCGTTTTTTTTTTTTTACAAATTTTTAGAAAATTAATTTTTTAAAAGTATTACTTTTTTTTATGAACTTTTGAAAGAAAAATTTTCTAAAAATAATTTAACTCTGTGAGTAATCAAAATAAGAATTTAGTTTTCTATAAAAAAAAACGTCTTAAGGGGATGTTGAAGTTGTAAATTTTCTAGATGAAAATTTTATGTAACAAAAAATTGGCACAACTTTAATATGCCCTTAAGTAGATTAAATAAAAAAATTTTTTTTAATCTTTCGAAATATCTGATTTTGATTATTTGAAAAATATATTTTAAAAGAATTTTTTTTTTGACAAAGCAGAAAAAAAGTGAGATATGTAGAAAGGAACGTCCTTTTCTTGCTGGAAAGAATGTATAAAAAGTTAAAAATCTAACTAAAACGTGGTTGATTCTTTGTACTCGATTTTTATTTTTTGTATAAAAAAAAAGAAAAAAAAAAAAAAAAAAAATTTTTACATTCAATGTTTGTCCGATGCTTGCAATTACAAACAACCACTGCATTCCTTATGCTAGCATAACCATATAATACTGAATTTAATTGTTCACTCTGACGTGGCCGGCGCTCCTTGCTTTCCGTATAGTTGTAACCCCACTCCTGGTGTGCACACTATAAAAGGGGTCTCTCACACCAGGACCATGGAGCAGCAGCTCCAAGTCGCGTTCAGATAAATATGCGGGAGGGGCTGGAATTCTTCACTCGGTTGCATTCCAATGCCCTTCTCTTTTTTTCGTCCTCTTCTACCATACCTATACCTATCTTACTCTTTTTCCGCAACGATCAGCTTTGGAGAGCTCTACTAGTTTTCTCTCTTTCTCTCTCCTCTTTCACTCCATTCTTCAATTTACTCCTCTTTTACTCTCACCACAAACTTACGTTCAGGAAATGCGCCTCTTTATCCCACCTTCTTTCTCGCGCTCAAGAGCATCGCTGGAATTAATCTTTTTTTTTCTCTCTTTCTTTTCTTTATTATAATATATTTATCTCTTATAAGTCTTTTCAAAATTTTAATCATTAGGTATATATATATATATATGCACCTTTAAATTCTTTTTTTTTTTAAGTACACGTACATTAGTCTCAATTGACGCTATTTTAGTATGTTTACAAGATTGCGACTTTCAAAATTTTCTTTTAAAAAAAGATATTTATTTTATTTAATCGATTATTTGAAACGAAATTTTTATTTTAATCAATTATTATATCTGTACCCCCACAGCACCGAAACTTTCCTAAAGATTGCAATTCAATATTCCGAACATTTCAAATAAATCTTTAGGAAAGTTTCGATGCTGTGGGGGTAATTGTCTCAAATAATTATTTTATATTTAAATAAATATGTGTATTTACTCTGAAGAAAGGGAGCAAAAAATTATAGGTTATGTTTATGAAAATTTTTTACCTTAATTCAAAGTTTCTTTTTCATTATGTAAAATAAAAATCAATATTTATTGAATATTTAATGAATACTTGTCATTTGATTTGTATTGAGATTGTTGATCCTCTTTATTTTCATTCCAAACTCAAAAACATAACCTATAATTTGTAAACCTAAATATTTATTCATTTTCTAAAAAAGTTTATTATTTTTTAAACTTAATGTTTTTTTTTTCAAAGAAAATTTTGCAAACTATAATATTTTTCAATGAACAAAATGAGCAATTATTTATTAAAATCTGATGAAATATATGGAGCATTCCGTTTCAAACTGTTCCACCTTCAAAAGATGATTCCAAGGATAGCGCGTTTTTCTATAGTAAATTTAATTCTACAAAAATTAAATATTCTTCATAATGTATGTTTATAAGAAAATTTAATGCACTTTCAATTTAGTCTTAACATTCTTCATTTTTCTCAATTTTTACAAATTTTTTAATTTAAATTAATTAAAAAAAAAATTTAATTATAAAAGTTTAAAAAAAATTTAATTTTTAATTTATAAAATAAATTAAGATTATGTGCTTTCTCGCAAAATACTTTGTAGATTGAGTTAAAATTTTGTGGAAAACTCAAAAATAGTAATAAGGATTCGTTGC